CCTATTACAGAAAGCCTGATCAAGAAGATTAAGTGGATGAAGCTCTCTACAAAAAACTAGCAGAAGTCTTCTGACGGGAAGCTTTTGTCCTCATGGGAGATACCTAATCCTCTGTCCTCCCCTTTTCTTGTTCCTCAGGCTTTATTTCCTTTATACCTATTCACCATTTCCATTCCAAGTCTATCCACATCCACACACCCTAAACATCGACTCCTATTTTAAACAGCAAACTAGGAGGACCAGGAAAAAATTCCCCTCAAAACAACGTCCAATCAAGTTCAATGTATATAAGAGTTTGTGGGCGAGTTTCACTACTGTTTTCGTTGCAAACAAATCATGGCCACTGATCAGAATTGCAAATTACTCCAGAATTTCTGTATCCATACCTTTTTACAGACAAAGGGACTCCAGAATTTTAATTATTTCCCATTCGTGTTCAAAGTAGTTATTAATAAAAATCAACAGGGTATCTCCCAGAGGCTCATAACAGGTGATGACATTAAAAAGGCAGTCTCAGCCATTCTTACCATGTACTATTTATTATCAGGGACGGTTTATCCTATGTTATGTTAAAACCCAGAGATGACTCTCGTAATTTTGCCAATAAATGATTGGCACTGCTTATCACAACCAAGGCAATTAGTTTCAATAATTCTTTCAGTTTGGCTGATGCTTCAGAGAAGTGATATATTTTAGCATAAAATACTGTTTACTCACCTGTCTCTTCACTCAGCTCAGTCCCTTCTTCATTAGCATCATCTGTCAAAAAAAAAAAAAAAGGAACAAAATTTATAAGAATACTAGAAAACATCTAAAATTAAATATTCCATGTTTCAAATTGCCCATATCTTAGTTTGCCTCCTCTCATTTAACATTTTGCAGTGATATCTGGAGGTGGATGGGGGAAAAAAAGGTTTTGATACTAGACTATTTAGTACCAGATACAGGAAATTCAGGGAATAAAGATCTGCATAATTTACAGAACTCTGCAAATTATTACTTGTATAAAATGAAATTGCATTCTCTTTTCTAGCAGAGTTTTTGGTTTACTTGTTAAGTTTCAGTTTGCTTTGTCTCCTGGAAACAGCTGGCTATGTTAAGAAGAGAACGAGTTATCCAGAAACCATGCCACATAAAGAAGTTACTATAAATTTGCCAGACAGGACTTGGTTTAAGACCAAACTTGCACTAGCCAAGAATTGAACACTTGTAATCATTAAGATGAAGAAAGCAGATTCCTTTTTCAAAAAGTTACATTTTGGTAACAAAGGAATTTCTTGCCGCAAGTTGTTTTGATGAGGAAAAAACCCCATTATTAGTCTTAGTTAACATCTAGGTAATTCAATGTCCCAGAGCCTTGCTCATCTAATGCAGCACTGACCACAGAAGTTTATGTCAACTATGTTCCTATTTCATATAGACTCCGTTTATACCCTTTTAAACGGATTTGGGCACATGCAAATTCTGTAGCAAGCCTACAATTTCTTTCTAAAGCTTAACATCTTTCAAACTTGCATATGTGCATATTAGGATCACCATTTGAAGCCAGTTTGCAATATTATGATCAATGGTAATGAAAACTAACAGTAGTATTTAGGTCCTAATTTACAGGGTCAGATCTTTACACTGCAAAGTCCGCTGAGATCCAAATGCTGTGACACTTACTATGAGGACTAAGCTCTGCTTTCGTCAAGATTTGGACCCTAAAACTTTATTTTGGTAGCGTAAGAACAGAACAATTGATTAATAATAAGAGGCCTCCACTGTGAATTATGTTTTCTATAAGCATTAAAATCACAAGTGTGAGAATTTCCACGGATGCTTGTGACTCTATAGTAGATGGATCTGTATCCATCCTTCTCTCCCTTCCATCTCATTTGGACATGATCTGGAGGGCAGGGCTTTCAGAAGCCACTAAACAACAGCAAGTGACCTTTCTCCTGAGTACGCTTTAGTCCAGCCCAAACGATCAGGAGTGAAAAAAGTCACTGCACATTTTACTTCCTTTCTCCTTATTCTCCAAACAATTGTTTTGGAAATCAAAAAGGCACACGGACCCCTACTGTACAAATATAAATTTGTACACAGAAAGTTTAAGGAGCTTGGACAAGTAATTTTTGAGATAAGAAAATGAAAAATCTTGTTAAAACCAATGGGAATTCTGCCATTGACTTCAACAGAGCCAGAATTTTCAACTGGAGTCCTGACGTTTTTCAACAAACCACTCAGAAAATATTTGGTTAACATAGACATTATGAATTATTCAGTTTCCAATAACATGTTCTTTTCATGGAAGCGTTTATAACGAAACCAGCATGATAAAATTTCAAATTAATCTAAGACTTGACACTACATCAGCAGAATATAATATCTTAACATACATATATCACCTGGTCTTCTGCAGAATTTCTTAATTATAGTTCTGTAAGTGACTTGGAATACAGAATTCCCAAAGCAACAGAATAGCTTCTAAGCTGGTGATAATGGACACAGACAAGAAATCTGATGTTATTAAAAAGTAGTGAAGTCATTATCCAGTATAATTATGAAGAGGCAAAGACTGCTTTTGTGAACTAATTGTGAATTAAAGGCTGTTTTTTCTGGGAAAAGGAACCTAAGTCTCGCTGAAAGGCAGTAAAGTCCTTACATCATTTCTGAAAATGACAGTTGGTCTCCCAGCTGCTTGGTGACATGATCTCTAGGTCATTGTGGTGCCTCTGAAAAGTCTACCCCAATCTAGATCTGCATCCCAGTTTCACTTTGGCACACAGCGCTCCCCAGTCACTTCATGTGTCTGTAATTTACTCTCACACTATTCATGCCCCTGGTGGACGTGCTTCCTTGTCAAATATAAAGTGGTCTCTTTCACTGACCTTGGTGTGGCTGGCTGAAGTCATGAACACCATGGTTAGTAGACAGAGCTCTATGCCAAAACCGATTATTTGAGATAAAAACCAGTGCTTTAGAAATCTGTATCTAAAATTCACTCCCTTTCCCCCCAAAAGAATGATACTACAGGTGGTTTCTTGGTTACTGGTTCTGAAATAAAAGTAAAAAATTTTTTTTATTGAAGCTCTATGTGCGTACTATAAAGCAGAATCAGTGCCAAGATTGCTATAAATTAGGATTTCCAATACCTAGTTTTTTGGGGGTTTTGTGTTTGGGTTTTTTTTTTTTAATGTTCCCTATACATTTTTTTACCTTATCCAGAGGAAGCCTTCCAGAAGTCTGCTTTGGTTTGAAATATGCAACACAGACAGTCAATCCCAAAGAAAATTGAGTAAAACCACAGAAGAACCAAAGAGTGAATCTTTGACAGCAGTAAACATTTCCTTAAAGACATACCATCAATATTTCTTGCCCAAACTCTCCCATTTGAAAGACCAGAGGTGAGGTCCTCAGCAACCCTCAGCCTTACTCAAGAGCTGTTGAAAAATAATTGGCTAGGAAAGCGTGCTATAGTGTGTGCACGCATGTACCCACTCTTAGTTACTCTCTTGGCTGGAGAAGCAGAACAGCGACCTTTAATGGGGAAGCCATGTGAAAGCCTTAGATTTTGGGAAGCTCCACCAAGATGACCTTGCTGGGAAGGGAATGACAGACCTTGCAGCCTGGAGCGAGGGGAAAACTGACAGCGACTCCCTGCAAGGATCAGCCCACCCCTAAGAAACCTCGCATCAGTATTTAGAAGGCTTAGGATGCAAGGAAGCCATCTAATCCAAAATGTGTCATATGGTTGAGAGCGCAAAATTTTCCAGCTTATAAATTGGGTTATAGTATATAAAATTAAGGTATTAGATGGGTGATGTATGGGAGAACAGTTTCCAGTCAAGTATAAAATAATTTACAGTTGAGAGTCAACCTACAATTGAAACTCGCCCTCTAACTCTCATGCTGTCTGGGGTAACTATATCTCTAAAGATCACAGGGCTTTGCATTTGGGAGCAAGTTGCTCAGAGCATACACATTTGTATAAGTCACAGGCTCCCTGGTAGAGTCATGTACCAAGAGATGCCTGTTACTCTCTCATTCCCCTCTCCCTTGTTACCTGCCGAGCTATGTGAAACAGAGTAATTGCACCATACCTGCTCTTACTGACACTGGGGAAGGGGAGGCCTTCTTCTGTCATATACGTTTTTCTTTTCTTTTGCCTTGCTGGTCAGGTTCTTTCTCTGTCTCACTAGTTGTTGCATACAAGCAAACACAAGCCAGATGGCTAAAATCATCCATCTGTGTTAAGATTTATGTTAGGAACCGAGAGGTGAAAGGCTCTAAATACCGCTGCTAATCCCCTAAGCCATTAAACCACCGCCTCCTTGTTGCTCACGCTTCTATTTGCATTCTTCTTCATGTTAGCACGTGGAGAGTCACCGTTGTACAAACACCTTTTATTTTTAACTGTGCATGCATTGTACAGCTCTTAGGCGGGAGCCAGCTCCGCGCTGCAGGAGGCTGCTGTTTCATCTGCATTCAGGGCCTGCATCCCGGGCTGCCGGCACTCCCCCAGCAGCACGACATGCTGCTAGCTCCTCCCTGCCTTCCTCTAGCCTTTCCTCAGCTGCCTCGTCTCATCCTTCAGGATTTGGTCCTTTTCTCAGCACTTTCGGTTATTTACTGATTTCTAGACGTTTCCTTATTTCCAGCCAACCCACGTGTCTCAGTCTGCTCCTCTTTGCAAGCGCAGCTCCGTGTACTGAACATAACCAGGGGAGGGGCTGGGAGGGCACTGCGGGACCCGACCGAACTCCCCTCTGCAGCCTGTATGCACAAGCACTGGCAAACAGAGCAGTGAGATGGGCAGAGCTGTACAGGAGGTTGAAGTGACAAGTTGGTGATCACACTGCTGATGCCTCAAAAAAAGCCCAAACCAAAAAAAAACCTTTCAGTGCTGACAGCTGCAGCCATCCTGTTGAGCTTATTTGCTATATAAAAACAGGAGCCCAGCTGAAAAAGTTCCTGCTGTCAAACATTTGCCTAGCAGGTATTCCATGATCCGCCCGTACAGTTTCCACTGGAATAACAGAGGATGTGGGGCACAAGTCTCGCAACATTAAGGAAAATGGATCCCATTTTGAGGCAGACTCTGCTTGCTCAAACGAAAAGCTTCTCGTGTCCAATCTTGGAGTGGGCAGCAGTATGGGCCAGAGTACCCGTGTGATGCAAAGTGTCTACACTGTAATAATATCAGGTTTCCAGCAGCTGAAAAGACCAAGTAGGTTCTCACTCTCCATGTTTGTCTCTACCCCACTTAACTTTCCAAAACTTTGTCCCAAAGCTTCACCCACCTGTCTATATGATCATCACGTAGATTGTCATATCATCATAGGATCATCATATCCTTAGGGAGCTTTATAATCATGTATCTCATGTCTATTTTCAATCCTTAGTAATTGAAAAATCACTTCGTTTTGATTGCTTACAACCACTGCCACTACCCAACAAGAGCTTCCCAATAGTGCACAGGCTCTATATTCACCTCAGCCTGAAAGAGTTGGTATTTTTGTAGGATAGTAAACCACATGAGAAGACCCTAGAGTTTGATGAAGCCCAAACATACATATGAGGCTTGCAATAACCTAGGAGCTCACAAGCTCTTTTGGTTTTTTTTGATCCCTTCAACTCAGTTCTCTACTGGGAGAATACAACAGACTGACCAATAACACAGGATAAGGGAATGTTTTCTTTGAGGAAAAGCAGATTCGGAAATCTCTGCCAGATAAGATCAACTAAACCCAGGTCTGACTCTTTTCACATCTACT